TGGAAAACAGATCAGTGATTGCCACAGGGTTAATGTTACAGGAAAGGAGAATTAGGTGCGCCTGTGGAAAGTCAATAGTAAGAATAAATGTGGTGGTGGAACCGTTCTGTTTCATGACTTTAACAGTGTCAATATGCTGGCTGTGACACTGCAGTTAAGTTTTTCAAAATATTACCATTGCCGGAAAGCAGGTGAAGAGTACATGAAAGCTGGGCATTTTCTTAAAACTACATGGGAATCTACCAGTATCTCAGAACTTCAAAAAATACAGTACCTCCAGTAAATCTGAATTTCAGGAAAACAGTTATTTTTAACATTGGTATGGCCCATACAATATTTGGAACATAATCATTCAAAAAATGATTTGTTATTTATCTGAAATCCAAATGTAACTAGGAGTCCTATAATCTATCAGCCAATATTACTCTTAACATTAGCCAATGAAGACAAAGTATATATTGCAAAAAAAGGATATTTAAGAGTTGGCGGACAGAAAATGTGCGCTGATCCCAGAAACCCCTACCCTCCCTCTCAGAGCTGGTACCTCCTCTGCCTCACATTTCATGACAACAAATGTGCCCACTATTCCTGGTGAGAAAAGCTACATGGAGTATAAAACCTCCCGTTTACACACGAATGAAAATTATTCAGATAATCCTCCCTTCCTAATTTCAGATTTAAAAGAGCTATTATTCCCTTCTGACAAAGATTATGAAAAAATAAAAACGAAATAGTGAGGAAGTATTTTCTAGAAACAATTTTGGGTCTCTAGTAAAATACTGGAAAACACAACCAAGAACTAACAGACATCTGAGAAAATATCTCTAACCTGATAGAGATGGAGATCTACAAAGAAAGCGAAAAGCAATTATGGAGGGAATCCATTATTCCATAAAAAGGAAACACCAAGAAATTATCATTAATAGTCCTCAGAGATGGAAGACGCTATAACCACAAAAGGAAAACAGAGAACAAAAAAATTCTTAAAATTTAAAAATATATAGTAGAAATGTAAAATTTAATGAAGATTTAGAAGATAAAGGTGAATAAACCTCCCACAAAGTACAGCAGAAAGGCAAAAAGTAAAAAAGAAAAGTGAATCAAAGAACCAGTCTGGGGGTGCCTGGATGGCTTACTGGATTAAGGATCTGACTCTTGATTTTGGCTCAGGTCATGATCTCAGAATCTTGAGACTGAGCCCTGTGCCCGGCTCTGCACTGAGCATGGAGCCTGCTTAAGCTTCTCTCTCTCCCTCTGTCTCACCCCGGGCTCTCTCCCTCTCTCCCTTAAAAAAAAAAAAAAAAAAAAAGGAACCAGTCTAAGAGGTCTATAACAGAAACAGCAGAAATTCTAGAAAGAGTTAACAGATGAGGGTGATGGACGTGGAAAATTAACAAAATCAAGACAATGTCATAGGACTTGGGGTACGAGTTTCCAGAATGAAATGTTCCCAGTAAAATGCACAAAAACAGACCCACACCAAAGCTACACTGTTAGAAAATTTCAGAACACCGGGGACAAAAATATCATACAAACTTCCACAGGGAAGGGTTTTATACAAAGGATCATGAAAACACATTTTCAAATATGTAAGATATAAAAAAAACTATTTCTCCTGCACCCTTTTGCAGGAAGCTACTGGAGAACACATTCCACCAAACTGAGGGAATAAATTAAGAGAGGGTTTACATAAAGTACAGAAAACAGGAAACCAAAAGGAGAAGCAAAAAGAATCCCCAAGATAAGTAGAAGATCCCAGAATGATAATAAGCAATCAGAACATACCAGTTATCCGGTCAGAACGCTCCAGGGTAGACTTCTCCAGGAGTGTGAAATTGGTAAAATGTCTGTCTGAACATCTTGTATGATTTACACAAATGATGGAGGGTTTGAGGTCAAATTAGCTATAAGTACTCATGAGCAAACTCAATAAATAATACAAATGATTAACGCAGGGAAAAAAAGGAGTTGTTCAGGAAAGGAAAAGTAATCACAGTTTACAACATGACAGCTCATGTTAGCATTTACGTGGCCATAAAACATCATCATATAAAACAAACATAAAACAAAATCATCATATAACTACATTTGGGGGTGGGGATTTTGAGTTTTGGGGGATGGGGACTGATGTTTGTATGGTAAGAGCAGAGAGATAAACCTAAACCTTCAGCTTCTATAATAGAAAATTAGTAGAAATGACCTAAAAACGGATAAATAAAAGAAGCAATACCATTGTGTCATTAAAAAATATGGAAAGGTGCCTGGCTGGCTCAGTTGGTAGAGTGTGCAACTCTCGATCTTGGAGTTGTAAGTTCAAGCCGCACACTGGGTGTAGAGATTACTTAAAAAAAAAAAAAAAAAAAAAAGTTTAAAACAAAAATAAAAATTGTAAATATGGAGATAACACCTAAAGAAGCTAAGGAAAAAAACAACAAACAAAACCTAAAAGCAGCACAAGGAAGCAAATAATAAAGATTAGAGCAGAAATAAGTGATATAGCAACTAAAAAACCAATAGGACAACACAAAAATATGGAGAGAATTTGTTAAAAACTCCATTGAAAGCGCTTGCTTTTTTAGAAGAAAACAAGGGACTGGGAGCAGGAGCATGGCCTTCGTCACAGAATTGACTCTTTACCCTTATAACTTCCATAGAATTATTTCAGTTTTTAAGCTTATAACTTAAGTAGAAAAAAAAAAAAAAGGATGAAAAAGAAAAATCCCAGTCATCAACTATACATCTCCCCAAAACTTTTTTTGTAAATGACAATTTAATCTACAGTCCTCAAATTTAAGTCTGTCTACCTTTAACGGTATTACATTAACCACTAAAGAACAGTTTTCAAAACCCTATTTTTGAAAGCATTTAGAAGAATTCCATACCAACAGTGTAGAGACAAGTATAACCCACCATCCATATACTTCATTAGGGCATATTTGTCTAAACATTTATGCTGGCATTTATATGTGAAACAACAATGGTTTATTATAAAGAAGCCATAGCTGTATTTAACATGCTGGGTCTGGGTAACTTTATTCAAGACTTTGACAAAAACTATCCTCAAAGTAATATAAATTTAGATACTTTTAGAAAGTCCAGATGTGAAACTCCAAGAAAATTTTGAATTCAGTCTGGAGTCAACACCAGGTCAAATAATGAACCAAACTCCCAAATGATAAATACTATTCTCCTTCTTAAGCTCATTATATTTTCTGAAACAGGTTACCAAAGCATTCCTTTCTTTGATATTGGTATACGGAATCATTTTAACATGGTTTACATCTTTAAGTTCTAAGTTTGTACTTAACCTGAATATCTTATTAAAAATATAAATCCAAATGTGTTAACTCTTCTTTACAGAAGAATTCCAACTAGTAAATGTAGAAGAAATGAGAGAAACAGAAAATCACCATTAAAACACCACAGCAGTAACTGACACAAGCAAGATCTGGCAGTGGACATGAAAATAAGTGGGCAGTAGTTTAAGCAGAAACATTTGCATAGTCTCAAAGTATCTTCAGCGAATATTTAGTCATTACGAAGAAAAATGTAGGAATTTTACAGTAGAGAATCCTAGCAGATACCACCTTAGATAGCAATTAAGGTTAACAACACCAGAAACACATTATGACATCAGGTGTCATGATACACTGTCACAGACTGGGAGGACATTATGGAGACATGACAACTAAATGCAAAGTAGAATTCTGCATGGGATCTTGAAACAGTAAAATGACATCAGTGAAAAAACCAAGAAAATCTCTACTTTTTAAATTTTCTAGTTAACAGTATTGTATCAAGGCTAATTTCTTAATTTGACAATTGTTCTATGGTTCTAGAAGATGTTAACATAAGGGGAAGTTCAGTGAAGAGCATACAGAAACTACTAATTTTATAACTCTTCGGGAGGTCTAAAATCTCAAAAATTCAAGAAAAAAAGCTGCTAGCAAACATACACATTTATTTGCAGTGTGTGTGTTTGCATGTGCGTGTGTGTGTGAAAATCAAGACTTTGTGGAAATTGGTAGCTTGGGCCCTCAGTTAAATAATAGTGTTCTCTCCTGAATTAGTCACTGAGTCACTGTCTCACAGGTTTCCTTAAGCTGGCTTTAAGATTCTCCCCCCTTCTAAATTTTTAGTTTCAAGTACAATTTTCTAATTTTCATGGAAAGCCTTTTTTTAACATTCCTGTATTAGGCCAAAAATAAAAATCTTAGAATAAAACTGTCACCATATTATCTCATAAAGTCACTCATCCCACCCATAAGACCCAGCCAATATTTTTACTCCATTTTTTCTCATCATGTGTTTGTCTGGTTTTGTTTAAAAGGAGAGGGGATGGGGGCGCCTTGGGTGGCTCGGCTGGTTGGGCGGCCGACTCCTGGATTTTAGCTCAGGTCTTGATCTCAGGGCTGGAAGCTCAAGCTCCATCTTGGGCTTCCATGCTGGACATGGCGCCTACTGAACCAAAAAAAAAAAAAAAAAAGATGGCTGATAGATTTATTATCACTAATAGGCCTGGCAGTCTAGAAAAAACAGTTATCACTTGGACATCTTATTAAGAAACAGCTGTTTTCCCAATAACAGATACTGTATACTAGAACTCACTTAAGATAGAAAAAGTAAGTCATTTACCTCATCTCTTCCACACCACAGCAAAGAGCTACCCAAGCAAGCCCACCTAAGACCCTTTCAATATCCGTTTCTTAAATCTGGCTCTGAAATGACCATTATTAATGGTAATAAATATCTTTTTTATAAAACAATTTATCCTAGGGAAATAAAGGTAAACATCAAATCTACCTTTAAAAGAAGAAAATTTCCCACTCTATGGCTGATTTTCATTCCCTGAGCATGAATCCTTTATTACCCTCATTGTTTCTGAATATAAACTGAGCTGAAGTCTGCTCGTAGGGGTCTTGATGGTGAAGCTAATTATTTTAGATAGAGAAGCACATTTGCAAATGGTCAAATTTATTACTTTTGCAGTTATTTTTTCTCACTGTGGCTTTAATTTTTCATCTGTATCTATCGTAATGCTTTACATGGAAGCAGCAGCAGTGAAAAGATAATTAAGGGGTGGGGGAAGGAAATCTCGAGATAAAGGTGGATCTTTATCCAAAAACAATAAAAAAGCAAAAAAGAAAATGGCCATAAGCATTTCATTCCTTTGCCCTTGCCATCTCCCAATTCGCCTTCCACTATTAACATGAAAAGTAGAAGTGGTAAAAACTCCACCTTAACGATCTATACAAAAAAGGAAACAATTTACCTCAAGAACTCACTACACACAGCAATATGTTCAAGTGGTGAAAAGATAAAAATTCATTCAGAACTGCCATACTATCTGGCTGTCAATATAGTCTCTTGAATAATTAAACATATTACTACAAAACGTACCAAGAAGTAGAGAATAATACTATATTTGTGAACTGCAAATAACAAAACAAAACAGAAGTCCAAGAAGGCTAAAGTCCCAAGCTGTAATTTACACATGAAGTGTATGCTGAAAGCAGTCACAATGTACAAAAATGTGACAAGTAATCCAGGTGGTTAAAAAAAAAACAGAGCCTGTTGGCCTCAGATTATATCCAGTCTCATCTGGTAGATTTTTGATAAGCCTGTTACATAAAGCATGTTTCCCTCCTGCTGATAAGAAGCAGCTTGTAGATATCCACAAATTTCTTAAGGAGTGAGTCTACTTGGCAATAATGGTAACTCCACAGTTTCCTATTACATTCATTGGTCTGAAAACTGAAAACAACTCATAACTAAAATGTTCTTTCAAGTCCTTTACCAGTTTTTCAAGTTTTAATCAAAGGAAAGTTGGAATGTATTGCTTCTTGTCACCAACAATCATCTCAAAAAGAGGGTTTTAACCAAAATCAAGAGTTCTTTGGTCAAGTTAGTAACAGGCTTCCCCTTTGTTCTAAATCCTTCATAATCCTTTTTTTTCCAGTTTTTCCAGTATGGCCTGGATTTTACAAACAGCCTCTTTCCTGGCCTGCCGGACAGAGTCCTGGCCACCAGTTTCAACTGAATCCAGTTCCAAAAGTTCCTTGGTTAGCATTTCTTCCAGAAGCCAGTATGCTTTGTCTGTCTTTTTCCCTACGAACTCTTCTACTTCTTGCTCAAGATATTGGACCTTCTCCAGCACATGTATAATTTTTTTAATACTTGGCGGAGTACCTTCATCTGAAGATAAACACTCTTCAGGAAGATTATCACTTTCATCTTGATTGCCGGGGTGTTCACTGACGGCATTACCATACCGCTGAGGCTCAGCACTATACTGGACTTGGGAATCCAAAAGATCTGAATTATCATTGTTCATTGTTCCCGAGGACTCATACTGATGGACATTGCAAGGAAAGTTGTGCCGGTTCATGCCTTGATCTGATTGGCTATAGGGGTATGAGGAATCCTTAGAGTGGGAGAGCAAAGAGGGGAAAAGAGCTGTTTTAATGGGAATCCATCAACATCAGATTTGTTAGCCCACATCTTTCACCTGACCATGAAGGTACATGAAAAGATTCCCCACTAATAAAACTGGACCCCCCTCTTAAATCATTTGAGAAAAAAACACAACCCTACAAAGATAAAAGGAGTGCTTTGTCCAGTAAAAGGCAGGGCATTCCTGAGTGCAATGGCTGGAATCTACCCTGAAGCACCCATCATTATGAATACCTCATAATCTATCCTTCCCACCTCACAATCCACAGTGACTTAATAAGGAGGAGTTAGATCGTTTTTCCCCTAAAGAGTTAAAACCTTAAGACAGATTTTAAAATGGAACCTAGCCACAGGCAAATGATGTTCAAGTCTATGGTTTATACAATTTCACACTGGTATCGTCTTCTGTCTACAGACTGAGGTAATAAAATACATTTTTAATTTTGTTTAATATTCAGCTAACAGTACAACAACAAACAATAAATGAGCATTTTTCTGGCTTTTACAAAAAAGAGGTGAACCTAAAACTGCTCTAAAAAATAAAGTTTATTAAAAGGAAAGAAGAAACTGGGCTACATAAAGTTATAGGTATTAAGCACCAACTTTTTGCAACTAGTCCCCATTTAACACACACCAGTGTGGAAAATTTCCATGCTGTGTTCTCTCAATTACCCAAACGTCAAAAGAATGTTTAGAAGGTCTCCTACCTTGGGCTGATGGGGTGATGGTGAAGGAGGTGACTGCGGAGAGCTGTTGCTAGGCCATGGTGAAGGACTCTCACTCATATAGAGATTCCCAGGTGGTGCTGAGGGAGCAGCTGAAGGCCAGGGGTAACGGGTTCCCATTCCATAAGCACCAGGAGAAGCCCATGAGTCCTCCTGTGGCCGTACAGTTGGTCCTGGTTGTGCAACACTACGATTACCATCCCCATAAGGATAATGAGGCAGGGTCATTCCAGGGTTCTAGATTGAGAGGAAGGAAATATGCTGGTCACTGCCAAAAACACTTAAAAGTAATGAAGATATTCTAGTATAAACAGACTTCGATGCCTCCTCTCTGCTTAACCGAGTATACTTTAGCTGCTACTAAGCTAAGTTGTAGCATCTCTAATCAGTTGTAGTCACTTCTCCAACCCCCCAAAAAAACTCGGTTCCAAAGATACATGGGGCAGATTTAGTGACCATCAAACTCATAAAGAGAAAGCTTAAAATTCAAAGGTTAAAGCACAGCATAAAGTCTGTCCCATGACATTACAACTAAGTGGACCCATACACTATAAGGAAGCACAAATAAAGATGTATTAGGACTCCCCTTAAAGCAGAGAGAAAAATAAATATGGGTATCCCTCACAGAATTTTTTTCCAAAAAAAAAATTTTTTTTTTCACCACGCTTGGTGTGGAGCCCAATGCAGGGCTCGAACTCATGACCAAGAGTCGGACACTTAACCGACTGAGCCACCCAGGTGCCCCTCACTCACAGAATATTAAAAATAAAAACCCAACAGAAAACTGCTCACCTGTGAAGCAGGATATCCTGGAACCTGCCCCCTGAGAGGGGCTGCTTCAGTCTGGCAGTCCTGCTGAGGATAGAGCCAACGAGAGACTGGTGCCGGGCTGTTGCCAGGTGAACGGTAAGTGCTTGGAACCTCCGGGGAGTAACTGGTCTGAGTATATGCCGGTGTGTAATAAGCCCCAGAGTATGAGGCAGTATTTGGTGCAGGACCGGGGGGGTATGGTGAGCCATATACTCCGTTTGTATAAGAATTCAAACTCTATTAAAAAGCAAAATTGAAAAGAAAAAAGATGACTGAATAGAAGAACTGAAATGCCCTGACTTAATATGCAATTTTGAAAACTTTGGGAAGGAAAAAGATCAGTAACTAATGAAAATGTGAACTCCTGGGACATCTGGGTGGCTCAGCCAGTTGAGCATCTGCCTTTGGCTCAGGTTATGATAACCAGGGTCCTGGGATGGAGCCCCCATCGGGCTCCCTGCTCAGCAGGGAGTCTGTTTCTCCCTCTCCCTCTGCCTGCCACTCTCCCTGCTATTATGCTTCTCATGAAAAACATGGAAAGTCTCACCAAGTAAGTACTCCAAGAGTTCAAAATTATAAGCAGTTGATATTAACTCGAATTTCTCTAATACTCATTTTTGAAATTGCTAAATCTATGATCACCCATAAGTTGCTTCTTCATGCTGTACCTCTACTTAGAGAACTACTCCAATTTTTGTCTCACTGAAATTCCTGACCACAGTTCTTAAGAGGCTGTACTTTACAACTCAGTTCCCCTTCAAATTAAATGAAAAAAGTGTCAAAGGTTCTGACCAATGGCTTTTTGTGTCATGGTTTCTCAATTCAGAATGCTATCTTCAGTTTTCAGGGCAGCTGGGTGGCTCAGTTGGCTAAACCTCTGCCTTCAGCTCAGATCATGATCCCAGGGTCCTAGGATCAAGCCCCACATCAGGCTCCCCAGGGAGCCTGCTTCTCTCTCACCCTCCATCCCTTCCCATGCTTGTGCTCTGTCTCTCCCTTGCTCTCTTTCAAATAAATAAAAATCTTAAAAAAAAAACCCACTTCAGTTCTCTATGAGAACTTTGCCAGTTCCTCAAATTGTTAAACACAGCAGAGCTACCATATGACCCAGCATCTCTACTCCTACATATATAACAAAGAGATCTGAAAAAACTTATGTCTACATAAAAATGAGCACACAAATGTTTATAACAGCATTATTCATAACAGCCAAAAAGTGGGAAAAAAAAAACCCCTCAAATTTCGATCAACTGATGAATGGATAAAATAAATGTGGTAGATCCACAGAATGGATAGTCTCTGGCCACAGAAAGGAAGGAAATATCAATACATTGCCACAATATGGATGAACATTATGCTTCAAGAAAGAAGCCAGTCATAGATTTCAAATATTATATGATTCTATGTGGCATGACCAGAATAGGCAAATCCGTAGAGATAACAAGTATATTAAAGGTTGCCAGGGGCTAGGGGCAAAGAAAAATGGTGTGATAGGTATATAGTTTCTAATTGGGGTGAAGAAAATGTTCTGGAATAGACAGTGATGATAGCTGCACAACCTTGTGAATAGACTAAAAACAACGGAACTGTACATTTAAAGGATGAATTTTATTAAATATGGCCAAACCACAAGCATATCACATTAATAATAATGCCTGCTTCTCAATTTCAGTCACAGGAATGCAAATGACACAAGTAAAATGGAAGTTTGTGTTACACGGTGACATGGTTTTTTTCTTTATTTTGCATTCCACAATCTCCTATCAACCTTATCCTAAAGTTCAAGTACCCAGAGTCATTATGAAAATTCAACGGTTTTTATGTTTTCTTTAAGCACATAAGTAAAGCTTGCTCTAACTTTAATAAACTCCTCTAGTTCAAAATCAGTCTTAAAGGAATGTATCACCAAATTAATGCGAAAAAAGGGAACACGATTTTTTTTTTTAAGGATTTTATTTATTTATTTGACAGACAGAGGTTACAAGTAGGCAAGAGAGGCAGGCAGGGAGAGAGAGGAGGAAGCAGGCTCTCCGCGGAGCAGAGAGCCTGATGTGGGGCTCGATCCCAGGACCCTGGGATCATGACCTGAGCCGAAAGCAGAGGCTTTAACCCACTGAGCCACCCAGGTGCCCCGGGAACATGATTTTTTTAATGAATTAATTATTCAGCCCCATCAAGAAACTTATTTTCATCATTTCAGGCTCCATACCACCAGAAAATTAGAACAGAATTTGAATATAGTATTTACTACCTGAAAACTATCAGGAGAATTACATTAGTATACTTTATGGTGATCTGAAAATTTAATTCTGCAGAGAACGTCAGTTTACAGGAAATTGACCTGTATATAAAATTCAAGATCTTTGAAAGCTGCTTTAAAATTGTATATATTACAGGGGCACCTGGCTGGCTCAGTCAGTGGAGCATGCGACTGTTGATCATAGGGTTTTAAGTTCAAGCCCCACATTGGGTAAAAAGTTTACTTTTTTATTTTTATTTTTTTTGAAGATTTTATTTATTTATTTGACAGAGATCACAAGTAAGCAGAGAGGCAGGCAGAGAAAGAGGGGGAAAGCATGCTCCCCGCTGAGTGGAGAGCCTGATGTGGGGCTTGATCCAGGACCCTGAGACCTTGATCCGAGCCGAAGGCAGAGGCTTTAACCCACTGAGCCACCCAGGCACCCCAAAAGTTTACTTTTTTAAAAATGTGAATATACTACAATCATGTTCTTAAAAATTATTTTCAGGGGCACCTGGCTGGCTCAGTCAGAAGAGTGTACAACTCTTGATCTTGGGGTTGTGAGTTGGTGCCCCAAATGGGGTGGAGAGATCACTTAAAAATAAAATCTTTAAAAATAAAATAAAAAAAAAAAATATTTGCATATAGAAATACAGACTCTAGACAGAAAAAAATGGAAGGAAATATGCAATTCTGACAATTATTGCCTTACTAAGGTTGCCAGATTATGGGTCACTTTGTAAACATTCCTCACTTCCACAATGGTATTGTGGAAAAATAATTTGGCTATATTTGATAAGCATACATACAAAAACCCCAAAATTCCATACCCCAGGGAAGTTCTTGCCTCAAATGTATACAACAAAAAAAGTGAAAAACAATGTTGAGTAAAAAAGCAAGCTGCAGGAAAATGCTAGTATGAAACCACTCATACCAAGTTTAAAAACATGGTAAATAATATTATGTAAATGCACATACAAGGAGTACCAGCATACAAACACATAGGAGAAAATTAATATAAAAGAAGTGTTATATGTGGCTTCAACTGTTTTGTTTTTGTTTTTGTTTTTGCTTATTTTTAAAAATCTGAAACCACAGGTTCTTTGGTGGCTCAGTTACTTAATCACCTGCCTTTAGCTCAGGTCATGATCCCAGGGTCCTGGGATCAAGCTCCTCCTCGGGCTCCCAGCTCAGGGAGAAGCCTGCTTCTCCCTCTCCCACTCCCCCTGCTCGTGTTCCTTCTCTCACTGTGTCTCTCTGTCAAAGAAATAAATAAAATCTCAAAAAAAAAAAAAATCTGAAACAAATGTAGCAAACTGAAAAACTGACAAAGCTAGGTAGTGGATAAAAAGACAAATTTTCTGTACTGTTTCAGTATACTTGTAGTATTTTAAATTAAGTATTTGTCGTAAGAGTACAATTTATTTGACACTAAAAGGGAAGGAACAAAAATAAAAATAACAAGGAAAACCACATCAAACTAAAAACTTCTGCACAGCAAAAGAAACCACCAACAGAATGAAAAGGCAACCTACTAAATGGAAGAAAATATTTCCAAATCATATATTTGATAAGGAGCTAGTATCTAAAATATATAAAGAACTCAAAAAACTCAATAGCAAAAAAAAAAAAAAAGAAAAGAAAAAAGAAACAATCTTACTAGAACATAGGCAGACAACCTGAATAGACACTTTTCCAAAGATATACAGATGGCCAACAGATACATGAAAGGTGCTTAACAGCACTTATCATCAGGGAAATGTAAGTCAAACCACATCAAGATATCACCGCATACTTGTAAAGATGGCTCGTATCGAAAAGACAAGAAATAACAAGTGTTGGTGAGGATATGAAGAAAATCCCTTCTGCACTGCTGGTGGTAATGTAAATTGGTACAGCCACTATGGAAAGAAAACAGTTTGGAGGTTCCTCAAAAAATTAAAAACAGAATGGTCCAGCAATGCGACTACTTAAAATACGTCCAAAGAAAACAAAAATGCTAACTCGAAAAGGTATCCATCTGCATCCCCATGTTCACTGCAGCATTATTTACAATAGCCAAGACATGGAAGCAACCTAAGTGCCTATCGATAGATGAATAAATAAAATGTTGTATATACATAAACAATTTACTATTATTCAGCCATAAAAAAACAATTCTTGCAGTTGCGACAACATAGAGGGAAATAAGTCAGACAGAGAAAGACAAATCTCATACAATCTCACTTACATGTGGAATCTTAAAAAAAAATCCTACATTCAGAGAATAGACTAATGGTTGCTAGAGGCAGGTACAAACTTCTAGCTATAAAATAAGTAAGTCAAGAGGATGTAATATACAGCATAGTGACTATAGTTAATACTGTATTGCATATTTGAAAGTTCCTAACAAGATAAATCATAAAAGTTCTCATCAGAAGAAAAAAATCGTAACTATATGTGGTGATAGATATTAAATAGACTTAATTATGATCTCACAATATATACAAATATCAAATCATTACATTATATACCTGAAACTAATATAATGTTACATGTCAATTATATTTCCAAAAAAAAAGTCAAACTCAAAAACGTAAGTACATTGTATGCTTATTGTTTCCAGGTCCTAAGAAATAATTATTCCTCAAGCTACCTTTGCTATAGATATATTTGCCTAGATATTTCCTTACTTCTGAGCCAAAGATATTAAGAGAGTCTATTAAATAACAAAATTCCACACACTACTACTATGAAATCTCCTCAGAGATTCTCAGATTATTGAAATAATCTTTCACAGATTATTGAAAATAAATCAATACATTAAGAAAAAATTCAGGGGGCACCTGGGTGGCTCAGTAGATTGAATGCCCAACTCTTGGTTTCAGCTCAGGTCATGATCTCAGGGTCCTGAGATCGAGCCCCACGTCAGGCTCTGAGCTCAACCCTGAGCCTACTTGAGAATCTTTCTCCCTCCCTCTCCCTTCCCTTCTACTCCTCCCCCTGCTTGTGCTTGCTCACTCTCTAAAACAAATTAAATCTTTAAAGAAAAAATTCAGGAAGTCTGTCAATTTTAGATCATACCTGGCCTTGCATTTCCGGTCTTACAGGATATGTACTTGGGTATGGAGCCCTAGGTCGTGCAGGAGAATTCCAATAATTAGAATTGTAGTTAGAATACGGTGGTTGGTCCTAAGGGGGAAAAAAATCACTTTTAATAATTTTTTGTATCATAAAGAAAAGTTGATAGAGGCAGTTATAATTATTAAAAAAAAAAAGCAAGAGACAAAAAGCAATAGAACCCTACTATAAAAATCACTCATTATTAAATTCTCATTAACAAATTGACCCAGAAATACTATATGGTAAATCACATGCCCTAGAAAAAAGCAATTATTGACTATGTACTAAAAGCCTGTTCTTATGCATCATGATACCAAATGACATATAAAATTCTACTATGCCAACATAATTAGCAAAACCAGATACCTGGATTTCTTTTTTTTTTTTTTTTTTAAGGAGATACAGTAGAATATACTTAGAAACACAACAACGTTCTTTTCTTTTCTTTTTTTTTTTTTAAGATTTTATTTATTTATTTGACAGAGAGAGAGAGAGATCACAAATAGGCAGAGAGGCAGGCAGGAAGAGAGGGGGAAGCAGGCTCCCCGCCGAGCAGAGAGCTCGATGCGGGGCTTGATCCTGACCTGAGCCAAAGGCAGAGGCTTAACCCACTGCACCACCCAGGCGCCCCGATACCTGGATTTCTTTATCTCTCTCCAATCACCAACCCCATCACTACCAATTTAATTCGTGCAACAAGATTATAGTTCTTTGCCACTGTTAAGAGCAATACTTGCCTATCTCAACAACTTGGGAGCTTGAAAATATCACTACTAAACTTTACTTCAAACTCATAAATCTCCAATATGCTTTTACCTGTCATACTAGTTTTGGGTTTTGTTTTTTTTTTAAAGATTTTATTTATTTATTTGAGATAGAGAGTGAGAGCATGAGCCAGGAGACAAAGGGAGAGGGAGAAGCAGGCTCCCCACTGAGCAGGGAGCCCAACACTGGGCTCAATCCCAGGACCCTGGGATCATGACCTGAGCCAAAAGCAGTCAGCTGCTCAAGCAACTAAGCCATTCAGGCGCCCCATGTCACACTAGTTTTTTCATATTCCTTTACTTTCTGTTTATGGCTATGTTTCTGCTGGCAGCCTACAACTAACCCAAGTATCAGGAATTGATAAAGAACAATTACCACTCCAAGAAGAAAATCTCGCTATAACGCTAATCTCTATAGGTTTGCACTGCAACTCAAGAGTTAATGCAATGATTTGCAATAAGCCAATAAACTCCCAATAGAATAGATCAACTCAAAACTTTTTTTTTTTTAAGATTTTTTTATTTATTTGACACAGAGAGAGAGAGACAGTGAGAGAGGGAATACAAGCAGGGAGAGTGGAAGGGGGAGAAGCAGGCTTCCTGCTGAGCAGGGAGCCGGATGCGGTACTTGATCCCAGGACCCTGGGATCATGACCTGAGCAGAAGGCAGACGCTTAATGACTGAGCCACCCAAGTGCCCCTACTCAAAACTTTTTAGAGTCTAGTTTAATGTATACATTTGTTATCCTGTAAGTTATTTTGCTTTGAACTTTTAGTTTTAGTTTTAAGCTTAAACAAAACCTTCAAACTGTTTCATAAAGAAATTCATTGGCAGTTGTAATCACTGAGAGTTTAATTATCACCATTTTAGCTTAATTGGACTACTTATCAGTTTCATACTGCTTTGTTTTCAAAGCACATAATTATTCCATATAATATTATACAAGTTGGGCAAGTAACATCTCCTTTACATAATATAGAAACTAAAGAATAGTAAGTTTTAAAAAATTTTACAGGCGAACTTCAGATCTTCATTAAATTTCTCAAGCAGGTAGATGCCCCCAGTTAATGACCTCCCTGCCTTTCCCTGGTTAAAGGGTAAACATTTGACTAACTGATTTCTCCCTACCAAGAATCTGAATCTTGAGTAGTAGAAATGAAAAGACAAGAGTTGAAGACATGAAAAATGAAGAGCTGACTCCGCCCAGCCGTGGTGAACGAATACCTAAATCTCCTAGAACCACCCTGGTTTCTGTTCTCTGCTACTGACGGACTCTCCCTGGTACTCCACATTTCACTACTTCTTCACCCTACTATCCCTCACCCCACCCATGTTCTCACTTCCTTCCTTAACTCCGCTTTCCAACACCTAATCCCTTGCCACTGCTTCCCTCCGATTCACTCACCCTGCAAAACCCCAACCCAATTTAAACCCAACTGCCCACTGACTTCCCATCTGCACTTCCTCTAAATACTGGTGGAGAGAAACACTAGAGCCCTCTGGTTTCTTCCTCAAGTAGAGACCAAAAATCTCAAGCAGACACAGCACCGCCTAGCAACTGTAACACTCCTTAGGACGGACGGCCATCTCTCTCTCCAGAACAACTATTTCACTCTCACCCCTACCCCAGATCTCCAATATTCGTTTAGTCTACCCCTCATTTTTCAACTGACAACTTTATCACATATTTCACTTAGGGGGAAAAAAAAAGGAGAAGCAATCAGACAGAAACTCCATCTTCCAACTTACTGAATCAAATGCACCCTATCTGCCATTGTCTTCCCAGAAAGCATGAAGTGCCTTTGGCCCTATTAATAATGACCAATCCCTCCACATAGCTGCGGACAACAGGACCTCTTACCTTCTACTACTTCTCCTAGACAAGTAGATAATCCCCATTACAACACAAACCTGCCCTTAAGACTCTCCTAAATAAATATTTAAATACTACCATATAAATCAATAAGATTAACAATAACCTACCCAGTAATTGCTGAAGGTGAGTGATAGTTATCTGGGAGTTTTATTGTACTAGTCTCCCTACTTTTACATAGAATTAAAAGTTTATAATATAAAAAGTTCTTTTTTAAAAAGTTAAAAAATGGGGTGCTTGGGTGGCTCAGTTGGTTAAGCATCTGCCTTCGGCTCAGGTCATGATCCTATGGTCCTGGGATCGAGCCCACATCATTCTCCTTGCTCAGCAGGAAGCCTGCTTCTCTCTCTCCCTTTGCCTGCAGCTTCCCCTGCTTGTGCTCTCTCACTCTCTCTCAAATAAATAAATAAAATCTTAAAAAAAAAAAGTTAAAAACAACACTGTGGGACAGGGACTCAAGGTAGATTTCCCTTAAACATGCCTTGTAAATATTTTGCATAATTAGAGAAAATAATGACATATTTTAAAATCCCTAAAAACATAACATAACCACTGCCAAATCCAAAGTAATGAAGATATACTCCTTGTTTCTTCTAAGAGTTTCATAGTTTTAGCTCTTCAACTTATGTCTATGAGCCGTTTTGAGCTAACTCTTACATATGGTGTGAGAGTTCAACTTTATCGATTGTATACGGCTATCTAGTTGTCATGGTATTGTATTTTGTGCTGTAGACTATTCTGTCCCTTTATTATATGGTCTTGGCATCTTTACCAAAAATCACTTGACCACAGACACATGAATTTATTTCTGGACTCTCAATTCTATTCCATATAGACATAGGTTACATATGTCTTTTTCTTGCCCAATTGCCCTAGCAAGAACTTCCAGACAATGTTGACTAGCAGTGGCAAGGGAAGATATCCTGGTCTTTTTCCTGATCTTAGGGAAAAGCATCCGGTCTTACATCACATAAATATGTGGCTGGCTGCGTGTGTTTTATAGATGCCCTTTATCAGATTGGAGAAATTTCCTTGCATTCCTAGAGTGATTTTATCAAGAAAGAGTGTTGGATTTTGTCAAATGCTTTTTCTACATCTACTGAAATAATCATAGAGGTTTTATTTTTTGACTTCTATGGTATATTACATTGATTTTTAGATGTTAAACCAACTTTGCATTCTTGGGATCAATCCCACTTGGTCATGGTATATAATTCTTTTTATATGTTGCTGGATTTAGTTTACTTTTTTTTGTTTTTGTTTTTGTTTTGAGGACATGTGCATCCATATTCATGAGAGATATTGGCCCATTTTCTTTTTTTGTGAGGTCTTTGTCTGGTTTTGGTATCAGGGTAATAAATGGCTTCACAGAATGAGTTTAGAACTGTTCTCTATTTCTTGGAAATACTTGTGGGGCACCTGGATGGCTCAGTAGGTTAAGTGTCTGCCTTCAGCCCAGGTACTGGTGTCAAAGCCCTGAGATCAAACCCCACATCAGTCTCTCCGCTCAGTGTGGAGGCTGCTTTTCCCTCTCATGCTCCCTCTGTGCTCTCTCTCAAATAAATAAATAAAATCTTAAAAAAAAAAAAAAAAAGGCTACTCTAGGCTGCACCTGGGTGGCTCAGTCCGTTAAGCATCTGCCTATAGCTCATATCATGATCCCAGAGTTCTGGGATCAAGTCTGGCATCAGTTTCCTGCTCAGCAGGGAGTCTGCTTCTCCCTCTCTTCCCTGCTCATGGTCTCTCATCTTCTATCTATCTCTCTCAAACAAATAAAAACAAAATCCTATTAAAAAAAAAAAAAAACGTGGTGGGGGAGGAAACCGCCTGTGTGGCTGGCTCAGTTGGTTAAGCATCTGCCTTCCGCCCAGATCATGATCCCAGGGTCCTGGGATTGAATCCCACATCGGGCTCCTTGATCAGCAGGGAGCCTGCTTCTCTCTCTGCCTGCTCTGCCTGAAGCTCTCTATGCTTCTGGCCTCTCTCTGACAAATAAATAAATAAAAATCTTAAAAAAAAAAAAAAAAAAGGTGGGGGGGAATGCCTGGGTGGCTCAGTCAGTTGGGTGTCTGCCTTCAGCTCAGGTAATGATCCCAGAGTCCTGGGATCAAGCCCCACATTGGGCTCTGCGCAGAGCGCCTGCCTCTCCTTCTCCCTCCGCTGCTCCCCTTCTTTGTGCTCTCTGTCAAATGAATAAATAAAACCTTTTATTTTTTTAAAGAAGTATTTGTGAAGAATTGGTGTATCAGTTCTTTAAATGTTTGGTAGAATTCAGTAGCCCACCTGCGCTCAGACTTTCTTTGTAGGTGGTTTTGGTTTTGTTTTGTTTATTATCAATTCAATTGCTTTATTTGTTATAGGTCTATTCAGATCTCCTATTTCTTTCTTGAGTTAGTTTTGGTATTTTGTATCTTTCTAGAAATATGTCCAA